GGGGGGGAGGGCGTCGTGGCGTCGCGTGGGAGGGGCGTCGAAGGGGCGTGGGAGGGCGTGTGTGCGGCGGCGGGCCGGCTTGTAAATGTGTTCTCGACGCTTCTTTTTCCGATATCGCACCAGTGCGTTCGGGACCCTCACACACTTTACGTGGCGCGGGCCTCGAGCTATTTGAGTGTGTGTGTGTGAGTGTGTGAGAGAGAGAGTGTGTGTGTGTAAGAGAGAGAGGAAGAGCGCGGGGTGGAGAGATAGAGAGAGAAAGAGCGAGGGAGAGGAAGAGAAAGAGAGGGAGAAAGGGGGAAAGAGAGACAGAGACAGAGAGAGACAGGAGAGAGAGCATGTGGGAGCCGGGAGCGAGGAAGCCCCTCTCGCGTGGCGCGAGGCGCGCGGGCGAGGGGTTGGGATGGGCGCGGGGGCGGGGCGGCTCTACAAACAGTCCGCAAGGCGCTGCACACAGGCCTGACCGTGCAGGGTTGTTGTTATCTCAAACTCGCATGTTGACCTGATTATCGGCAGCTAGCGAGACACGTACACACACATACACACCCGCACTTTTTTTCCGAATGGGAGAGCAGCGGCGGTGGCGTGAGGACGGTATTTGCAGCCGCGGCGTGGGATATACGTTGCGGTGCGGGCAGGCTGCCGCAGCAGGGCGCGAGGCGACGTCTCTCTGCCTCCCGATAAGTCCCGGGGGCTGAGTCATTGTTCGGCTCGCGACCGCCAGGGGGCAGCACCGTGTTGCAACGCCGCGCTCTCTCCCACGCGGAAATGATAAAACCCACTGTAATGATGAACTACATCTGTTTGCCTGCGGACCACAAGCCTCAGCGGCAGCAGGGCGCGGGGCGACACGCAAGGGAAAAGCACACGCCGTCGAGGATTATTGACTGTTGGGCGCTGTGCGCCGGGCCGCGCCGGCCCGTCGTCTGGTCTGGAGTGGGGCCGCTGCGGCCCACGCTGGGGCCGGCCGGGAACGGGAGGGGAGGCCGTGGAAAGTTTCGGCTGCTCCCGTGGAGGGAATGTCTGGAGGGCGCCCCCCCGACAGCACCACCCCCACCTGTAGATAGCATCTCACCCCCCTCGACAGTTAGGAGGAAACGTACTACTACTGTTCTTTGTTCGCCCTTTTTTTGGTTTCTTTGGTGAGCATTTCTGTTTATTTCAACGAAATATACCTGAGGACAGAAGGTAATCGGCATGCTGATATCGCACCGGGGTGAGTCAGTCGCTACCGGCTGATGGACACGGATCAGGTCGGGTACATAATGTGCGACAACAAACGCCGACTGGTCAGCGCGAATTCGTGTTATTAGCATTAGCAGTGATATCGCGGCGTTGGACGAATGAGGCAATTTTTTTTGTTCGCTTGTCCGACTCGGTCCGCCCGGCTTGGCCCGGTCTGCGAAAGCAGCACGTCAGCGTGTTAATCTAATCTAACTGGTGTGAGCGACGGAACCACGTGCCGCCTTATAAATACCGTCATCCCATCATCCAAATATCGGTCAAAGTGCACTGGGGGAACATACATACTCATGTCGCGGCCGCACAAAATAAAACAACTGCTCTCCCTTTTTTTAATGGGCCCCCTTCAAGTTTCCTCCTTTTTTTTCCTTCTGTTTTCGGCGCGCTTTGGGCGCGATTGCCTTTTGCGAATCGAATTCCGCAGCATAAGCCGCCAAGGGAACGGAATCCTACCAGGCGCACATATCGTGACAGTAAACAACATGCACACGCTCGGTGCCCTGCGTCGCTGTGCAATACCAGAAGATGTTGAGGCTGTCCAGCGCGCGCTCTAGTAACGGCGATAATCACTATCGCGTTATCGCCTTAATCAATTAGAACCGGATGAAATTAATTAGCGTTCAACGATACGTCTCAGAGACAAAAGCAATAATAGAGCGGTACGGAAAGGAGGGGGGGGGGGCAGATAAGGATCGGGACCCAATTAGGTTGTTTCACCCCCGCCCCCTCACACCCACCCCCCTCCAGAGACTGGACTAGATCCCGGCACGCTCCACGCCCCGCTTGAATCAACTAACGCACCGAGCGTTTAAAAGCGCACTCTCTGAGGAGGGGCGTGGGACAAAAATTTTTGAGGCGATTAAACTGCGCTTATCACTTGCACCCTTATCGCCACAGAGGCGCTTATTCAGAGGGGTTCATGACCGAGCTTAGGAAGGCGTTCATGACTGCATGACGTCGGTCCGGCCGACTAACCCTTTCTGGCGCAAGGTGGCGGTGCGTTCCCTCGAAAACAGCGGAAAAAGAAGAGGCGCATGGGTCGTGGCGCGGGGGCCGGGCGGAGTGCACTGGCCTCCCCTCCACCCCCGCAAGAGTCGTTGACTCCAGGGCCAACCTGCCGACCGCGCACTGACCCGCGCACCAGTACTCGCTCGCGGTCTACACGGTAGTAAACGGAAGTGCACGGCAGCGGCAGCACCATGATTTCATTAGCCGATCGGAACATTACCGCCGCTCTAGTGCCACGCAGCGATACGGTGGACGCACACACAACAGTGTCAACAGCCGTCGTCATTCACGTGCTCTCTCTCTCTACTCACCGTGGTCATGAAGGCAGCCGGGTCCATGAAGCGCCGCGCCGCCGAGGTGATGTTGTTCTTGAGCCGCTCGGCGGTGGTCCGCACAGCCCCCTTGCCGCCGTCGTCCACCTCGTCCTTGAGCCCCTGCAGCCTCAGGTTATTCTTGTAGTCCTTGAGGTCCTTCTCGACATCGGTGAGGTTGACGCCGAGGTCGTTGAACGCGTCGATGTCGCTCGGGGCGAAATCGCGGGCCCAGGCTGGGAGCGCCGGGGAGGCGTGCACACCCGACATCAGCACCATCGCAACTAACGCAGGGCTCCATGGCGTCTTCATCTATAAACAGATGATAGCCACAGTGCGACCGCCGCCCGCCGCCACCGCCACCTCCGCCTCGCCCCGCTCCGCCCGCCGCCGGACCGTCCGCTCTGTGGGACACACGCCCGGCCCGGGCCGTCGTCACCGCGTCACCGTCAGCCGTGCTCGGCCGGCCGGGCGCGCGCAGCAGCGTCTCGGCGGAGGCGGTGGTGTGGCGTGCAGGCTGCAGCAGCCTCCGCACAGTGCGACCAGTCTGAGGCCCTACACAGGAGAGAAGGGGAGGGGGAAAGTGTGTGACCTCAGGCTGGTCGTCTGCTTACTCAGGTCTTCAGCGAGCGTGAAGCACAGTGGTTATAGATTCGGCCAAGAAAGAACATGGCGAAAACTCGTTCGCATTCAAGCTGTGATTGGTCGCACAGAGCACCAACAAAGGGACTTGGGCAAGTGTAAATTCCCGATCTTGCCCAAACTCGGTATGTTTGTTTCCTACGTTGATGACGACTGACGGTCAAATCGTAAAGTGATGGAGGAAGTATACCCCCCCCCCTTAAAACCGCAGGGCAAAATTTGGTCGGCATTTGTCACCTACATTGATAAGAAGCAAATATACTGAGTTTGGGCACAACGTGAATTTTCACTTGCCTAAGTCCTCTTGTAACCAGTCGACGCGCAGGCACAAAACGAACGAGTTTTCGCCTTGTTCTTCTCGATCTTTCCCACGCTTCCCCCTTGCGCTCGAAGTCACCCATCGCGCGCGGAGGGCTAGCAGCGGCAGCAGCAGCAACCACAAACTTGCCGCCCTAAAGCCTGCACACGATTGCACAGTCACGCAGGTACATGGCACTCACATGACTGCACGAACGCCTCACGGTATGTCGACGCACCCCGGGGTCGCCATGGCCGCGGCCGCACTGCCCCCGCTGCGCTGATGTCCCTGCCGCTCAGCGCTGCTCGGCGTACGAAATGCACTCTCTGATGATGTGGGGCTTGCCACAAGCTTGCGCCAGTAGCAACAAGTCGGGCCGGGACGGAGGCATTTGAGAGCAAGATAAAAACAAAGCGAGTAAAAAGAGAGGGAAAAGGAGCGCGCGGGCCTTTCTGATATGCAAGAGGCAAGCGGTCGGTGGTGGGCCGGCGGCGCGGTCGGGGAGGGGATGAACTGCCGCCACTCCCTGCCCTCCCTCACGCGATATGTGGCGCACGCCAGAACGTTTCGGAAAGGCTCAGTGGTTATGACGCATTCTCACCCCCCCTCCCCCACCCCCCTCCACGTGCCGCGCCATCCGGTGTGCGTATGTGCGGGGTTGTACCTGTCGGCTGAAGGTCTCCATATGGGGAGGGGTGGGGCGGGGCAGGCTTTAGCTGTGCTTCTGCAGCAGCAGGACAGAAGGGTGACACAGGAAGAAGCAGAAGCAGCAGCAGAAAAAACAACCAATGAGGCCAGGGGAGGGGTACCGGTGGCGGGCCTTGGGGAAAGGGGGGGGGGGCAGAAGGATCTCCTGCAAATCACTACGAGCGAAAGAGTACCACACACACTCACACACACGCACACACTGTCGCTCCAAAAGGTGCCCCATTCGCCTATACAGACGAAGTTTGCATACTAAAGGCCCGTATCCTTCAAGCCGATTTCTGTGGATGAACTCTCACATTAATTTTGAAAATGAAGCAAGCCGGAAAACCGACCCCTTCCAGGCGAAAATCGCTTTTGCCCGCTTTGGCCTGCATTACACGATAGTCGTTGTCTCTACGAGCCAGATCACTGCACATTCGGGGAGAAACGTGGAATTTTGGTGCAAAACGACAACGTAGCGTTCCGGGCCGTAGAGATTTTCATCGGGACTTTTTATAAGCAAAAGTGTAAATTATTTTGGAGACACACAATTGCTCAGAATCCGGACACCATATTCGAAATCTGACTGCGGCATCATGACCCCCACCACACCTTAATGAATCGAAAACGACCTATACTGCTAACGGATTGGACCACATCGAGTGTAGTAAGCGTTCAATACGGTTCAATAGTAGGTGTATTTCGACCAACAGAGGAAGAAGAATAGAGGGTAGAACATTAGGGCTCCTGATTGGCCGGGCGCTTACCCCCACCACCAGCGTCACGTAAGGAGGGAAGCTGTCGACCAATAGGTAATGTTGATGTTCTACCCGCTATTCTTCTTCCTCCGTCAGTCGAAATACACTGTAGGGGCCTAAGTGTTAATTCAGTAGCCATATTGGAAAAGGGCCGCCACATTGGATCCGATTGCCTTCACCTGAAATGTAAATCTCTAGACTGGGTACCAATGCAATTACAAGTGTGCCAAGTTTCTCGCCTCTATCCAACAGTACAGTGAGTTTCCCCAACCATTGGTGGTTGAATCCGTGACGGCCCTCTACTCCTGCGGAGTAATCAGGGGCGCATGTGGAGGATGCGAGGATGTCGCGGTGGTGCAGACAACCCCGCCGGGCCCCGCCCCCGCCCCCGCCCCCAGCTGTTGCGCGGCGGGCGCGACGCCCCGGCGGCGGGGCTAGGCGGAGAGGAGGGGGGCGGACCCAAGCGGGCGGGAGGCGGGAGGGCGGGCTGTTGGCTCGGTCTGTCTGTTGCTGTGTTGCTGCTGTTGCTTCAGTGCGCCTCAGACCGGCCGTGTGCGAGGACGAGGAGCCCCGTGCGCCCGTCAGTGAGAGACTCGAGTCCGCGTGTCGTGATCAGCACTTATCTTGGAGGAGCCGGCGAGCTCGAATGAATGACCGCGCCGTGTCGACAACTGGAGCGACGACAAGTGCCCCGTGACCCCGAGGGACTACAACGTGAGCAGCGCTGCAAACTCCTTGGATTACCTCTTCAACCCTCTACGCCGAGCCGAGCCCAGGACGTCAGTTCATGGTGAGTTGGCAAGCGCCACCGCCCCGCCCGCCACGCTACTCCTGGCAGGGCCTGGCTGCTTGGCGGGTACTACCATAAGCCCCCCGACCCGCCCGCTGGGGCGTAAATGATTTCAGCCGACGCGGCTGACTCCGCAGTCCTTTACCGCGAACCGGGAGCCGAGCCGCGGGCCGGCTGTAGCTGGGGCAGCTGGGGCAGCTGGGGCAGCTGGCCCGCCCAGACGGCATGCTCAGATGCGTTTGTAGTAGTAGTCGGGTACCCGGTCAACACCGTCTATAGCATTGGGTTTTTCTCGTTCAGCTACGGGCGTGGGGGTGGGGGTTGTTCTCGTCCTCGAGGTTGTTGTGGGTTCATGGTGTTCCGCGAGCTGTCGCTGCTGCCCGGGTAAGGGGTGGG